CCCCTGCAAAAACAGTGCTGGAGAACAGCAAATAGAGCGAAATGAGGCATGGCTAAAATGCATGATCTGTTTGGTATTTTTAACAGAAACGTATAAATATACCTTATATAGGTATGGCCCTACAATATATCATTTAAATATAGCATGATAGGTCCACTTTAAGCTACTTTAATTGTACTACATTTCATTGTCAAAAATGCTACTTTATTTCTCCAATTTATTTATGTGATACACCTGTTCTTACTTCTCACTTTGGAGAGTAACATTTTACACTCAAAACCAATGTTCAGAGAGTATTATCCGATGAATAATTTGAACATAAATGACCTAACATCAAATTACAAATGCAGGACTTATAATGCAGTAATTTATTTTTGACCTATTTTTTGCTACTTTTAGGGAAGCAAAAGGATCAAAAACACTACTAACAGGTTTCCTTTGAGAATGGACGGGAATTGAGCTGCTCGGTGGAAGACTGCTGCGCAAAGCTAACTTTTGTCTGTTTACTATAATAACAATTAGGGAAAGAAGAGGAGAATATATTTATTTTTCAAATATATTTCTCTGTGTGTGTGTGTGTGTGTGTGTGTGTGTGTGTGTGTGTGTGTGTGTGTGTGTGTGTGTGTTTGTCTTAGTGAGGGGTCAGCTGAGAACTCATCTTGTCCCCTCCACCCATCACCTCCCCCACGGTGCTCTCCGCTGCGCTGTGCTTGGACAAAAGAGGTTGAATTGATTTGCTCCAGCCTTCAGGATTAGCTTTCACTTAAATCTTCATTCTGTTAGTAGTAGTCTCTTTCCATGGCAAAGGAAGAATCAACACCGCTCTGTGCTTTACATTCACATGACCTTATATAGTCTTAAAGAGATTACAATGCTGGTGCACCTCAGAGGACCTTCAGCAGTTGTCTAACCCTCAGGTGACTTTGAACCGGCCTACATGTTGACACTGTGGTATGTGGGCATGTATATGATAAACACGATGCATTGGCACTGTGTGTTCTGTACATTCTGTTCCTTATCTCTGAAGCACAACACTGGAGCATAGGAGGTTTCAATGTCACCCCCTGGTGGTAAAAAAAGGAGGCAAGGGTAATAACAACACCAAAAAAGGATGCATGACCTGCATTCAGATGCACAGACATACTGTATATGGATGCTCAAACAGAAGCATGGGATGAGGGTCGTGTTAATGGGGGTGAAGGACATGCTCGTTTATCTCAACACAAGTAAGCCCCACATAGGAGTCCTTATTGGTTGTCATGATATCATTCCCAGTTTCTATCTCAACAGGTGTGATTAACAGTCATGCAGAGGAAGCATTGAGAATGTGTTTTAACTCAATTCAGAGTGCACTTTCACCTGCCGTGGAGAGGGACAAGCAAAAAGGGTTAATATGCAAATACTCAAGCTGGCAAATATTCAAGTGAATTGTTGGCTTATGTACAGATAATATCAAGATATGGATCGTGCAACATGAATGTATTGACTCACATTCACAAAGACCTTTGGACTGAAACAATGACACACATTGCATGGAAACTTTCAAACAAAAAAGCCTTAAGATTGACCTATCATGCAAAATGCACTTTTGTACGTCTTTTATACATGAATATGTGTCCCCGGTGTTCCAGGGAACTCACCAAGTGTCAGAAAACACAACCCTCTCTATTTTCCTCCATACCCAAATCTCTAAAAAAGGGGCTGCAACGGATCTGATACAGACTGATCCAGATTTGAACACTTCTATGTCGTCACAGAAGTGGCGCTACGGCTATTGGGCCAGCTCTCCACCTATCAGGGGAATGTGGGGTTGGGCCACGGCCGGCCATTGCCGCTCGAAAGTGCTGGAGACGCTGTAGTACATATGCCAGGCCTGTAAGTGGCGCTGTAGTCTGCCACAAAAGCAGCGAAGGAGACTTCCCGCCCATAGTTACCATGGTTACCCTTCTGTTTATTCTCCGCTGTGGCTTTTTTTCTCCCTCCCCGAGGCAAGCGTTTGCTCCTGCTACTTTAATTCAATGCAATCCCTCCCCGTCGAGGCAAGCACTGTAATTCTCTCCGGTTAGTCCACCAGCAGATGACAAACACCCACCTCTCCGCCTCTTCCAAGGAGTCCAACAGAGTTTCAGTTTCAGTTTGTTTCGCCGGTCAAGATGTCCGTTAAAGTTTAAATCTTCCGGACAAAATTAGAAAAGTGCCGGTCAAAGGTCTTCTTTGTTATTTATTGAGCTTTAAAACAAATGAATAACGACTCTATATAATAAAACACGGAGGACGGAGATCTCTTTTTCTCCCCCTCTTCTGACAGCCCAGCAGCTGATCAGAGCACGGCTACCCTCTCCTGCAGGGGGGCGTGGTCAGCAGAATCAGACCCGTAGACAGCAAACAGCAAATAGAGCGAAATCATGGCTAAAATGCATGATCTGTTTGGTATTTTGAAAACAGAAACGTATAAATATACCTTATATAAGTATGGCCCTACAATATATCATTTAAATATAGCATGATAGGTCCACTTTACATTTAAATCAGCCACTACATCAATACAGTACATTTTCAACCCATGAAGTAAAGTTTACTTGATCAATAAGCTCTAAAAGCCCATTGTTCCTTCTATTAAGCTTTACATTTCCTTTAAATAAGATCTGTTTGATACAACAGCTTTTTTCCATTATGTATTGTTAATATTATTGTCTAATCATTAGGATTATAACATCATTTGTAATTATTTTTCCAACAGCATTGGCAGATTGTGACGTGATAATAAGATCATGTTAATAATTACTGCAAATCAGAAATATCAGAATGGACTGCTTCCTCACAACACCCAAAACCAGATGTTGAACACTGTGAAGGACTCTTGAGCCCTCTAGTGGTAATCTAAGGCTACAACCTGTAACTGTGTATATCAAGTTGTTTGTAGTTGTAATGTTACTCCTTAGTTTTTTAAGAGTAACATTTGAGTTTTATCGGGAAAACATCAAGTGAGCTATTTATAAAGAAAATATAAAAGTAGATGAAATTGATAAAAAGATTCAGGGAAGAAACATTCCAACAGTATATAAAATATAAAATAATGAAATGAGCTCCACTCGACTGGCAGCAACATGCTCCGTACAAGCATAACAACAATAATTAAATAATACGAAATATTCAATCATGTAGTGCACTGACAGGGGCTTTTCTGCATACCGAGTAATTTGATTCCTTATTGCTAATAGTTTAACTAAAGAAGAAGACCATTTACTACCTCCACTGATAAAAACATTCAGATGCATCTTCGCACTTACCAAGTAAGGGATCTTGTGAACTATTAACATATCTCGTTTTGATGCAAAAGTCCTGTATGGCATAATGCTCTTAAACTGCACATTTACTTTGAAAACCCCACAGTATGCATCTTCCAATTTTTCTTTTAAGGGGTCAAATTGTGTTATCCTTTTTTTTTACTTTAATACTTTTTTATGCATGTAAGCTGTCTGTGGCTCTTTTTCTGCTGTAACAAAGTACATTTCCCCTCTGTGGGACTAATAAAGGTATTCTGATTCTGATATAAATAACAACACACACATTATGTAGGTTATTATAGGAGCCAGACTGTCTCCATAACAATCCTCTGCCTTGCTGTGTGGTGTGTTAAATACTGGGGTGTGTCCTTTCCACTCTGAAACATGAGCTGCGACGGCCACAACCAAACTGGCTGCTCTTCAGATAACAGGTATCTATCAGTCTGTGTGCAGAGACGAGTCTTCCTTAGAACAACATTCATAATGCATGCTGGTCTTATGGATCTGCTCAGCCTTACAGCCTCATCACTGTCCAACCGTATGGTAACCAACACCAGGAACACGAGAGCTACAGGGCTTATGGATCCCATTTCTCCGGTTAATCAAGATTATCATCAAGGGTACTCTGCATAACTTCATATTAATCTCTAGCAACAGCAAATTCCTATTGTAGAGTATATAGAGCACCTGCAATGCGTAATTCAATTAAAGATCTAATTGACAAGTGTCACATGAAACATGAAATGTATTTGTTTCTTTATTTGAATGTGCAAATCTGTGTGTATTTCTGGACTCGAGTGTATTGTTGTGGTTGGTTGGAGAAACCCAATCAGTCATTAAAAGTTTATACATCTCTCTTTATCTACACAACACTCGCCGGCCCTCTCATGTTGCCAAGTGACCAGTCACTGAAAAAGCCTTTGAGGTGTACCTGAAACTGATTGGTATTGGACTGCTGCAGCCAATGGGAGCAGAGGAGGAGGGTTTGCAAGGAAGTGGTCAGGTAGCATTAGGTTTATGATAAATGGTATAACTTGTGTTTCCAGAAATAAACGGCAGGTATGAAGGTGTCTGTGGTTAATTCAAAGGGAAATAAAGATACAAATACAATACATTTTAAGAAAAATTCTCTTTGCTTTGTGATTTCTGTCTGCTGAATAACATTAAGACCCAACTGTGATGTAAACCAACAGTCATTTAGAAGAAGGGCTTTATCTGTATTCATGAGAAACATATACGTGCCAAAGGCAGTGAGTGGCTGCATTACAAAAAATCATCCAAGTAAGATTTTCTACTTAGCATAAATATGTCAGTTCTGTGTGTGTTCATGTGTGTGTGCATCAGGGACACAGGAGCCAGTCTACCAACACTGGCTGACAATGGTCCTGTGGCTCTGAGAAAGAGACCCTCTGAAATATGCATGAGGAAATCCACACCTGTTTCCAGGTAACCAAGGCAGGGATTCTGAACCGTGACGTTGAATTTAGTGTGTATATGTGTGTGTCTATGTGTGTGTGTGTGTGTGTGTGTGTACACCTGTGTGGGCGCATGCACAGCACAGCTTCCTACCTGTTCAGACACTCTGTAGGGACGAAAGCAGCTGTCAACTCAAAGAGAAAGACATAATCAGAGCAGGAGAAATGAGATGAAAGGTTCTGCAAAGGTTCCCTGCACTACTGAGAACTTTTACGCATGGAAACAGGTCAAAGTTGGCCCTTTTGAGACGAGCTGAAGCTGGAAGCGGAGACTTGGTGGAGGGTGGACCACAGAGGCTAAAGAGGTCTTGACAGGTCTTTCTCTGAGTGCTGAGTATCTATTCGTGCAAGTATGAATCCAGTGTGGAAAGTTTACAAGAGCAAAGTGCTGAAGACTTTCAACCCTGAGTATGAGGAGGACGCGGCTGAAGAGGTACAGAACTTTTCAATCTTAATGATCCATACACATATGGGAAAGTAAACGTGGTTGTTGGGATTTAAGTCAGGAAATCACCAGGTTTTGTTTCCTCGTCATTTTTTATTCAATGCAGGGTCAGTTGATCTTGCAGGCTGATTTGTTTTCTATGCAAAGGGAACATTAAGAAGATCTTAGGCCTTCAATATACTTCTCTGGTGCATTTTGACTTTACCAACTGAATTGGTTAAAATGTGCATGCAGATCAAGTGTTTGTATAGCAGTGTCAAATGTTCAATCCTGTAGCAGATATTTTCACAGCAACAATTAATAGCTTGTAACTGAAGTATTTTACATCAAGGAACAATTACAAGGCAAATAATCATTGGAAACTAATTATATGTCATGTTTACTTAATGACTATACTTAAATACAAATTAAGGTTGGGAAATCTGTCAAACACAGCATTGATGAAGATTAATCCTGTGGTTTGCAATATGTTTGGCTTGATGGGGCTTAGTTTGAATAAGTGTGCCTAAGAACATAAAAGTTACAATATTTCAACCAAGAAAAAAATCGGACTTGCCGGATTTGCAAAAATCTGCAACACATCGTTTCACCAGTTACACATTTTAACAGATTACTTACAAATGGAGTATTTTACATTGTTGTGCATGTACCTGACTTTTCCTTTCACCAATGGTTTTCAATGCGACATCTGTAAACCATCAGGGTTTGGTACCAACTAATCAGACACAGCGCTGCATTGACCCAGATCTCTGGAGGACTCAGAAACTCGATCCTGCACAGGAGCTGAACAAACGGATTAGTTTGCATTCCTCTAATTGACTGACATGGAGAGGAAGAGACATAGCCAGGGCCTCGTGCACTCTGCCTCCAACTGTAGTCTCTTTAGTGCCAGAGCAGAGACAGGTTCCATTTGTAGGAATGTGCAGTGTTGTCAACACTGCTATTGAAGTAGACATTGCTCTAGTTTGCACACTTGTGCAATATTACACAACTACTTATATATCACTAGGACCTAATGTCACACATATACTGATGTGGAAATACCAAACAAAAACAATCAAACAATTTTGCAAGCGGCTGTGACTTCAGACTAGGGCTGTCCTCATGTCATTATTCGTCAAAAGATTCCACTTAATATTTATCTACAATCATAACTCATTTGATGTGCATTGTGTCTCCTTTTTAGGCAAATGTAATACATTGAAAATGATGAGTATGCTCCTTACACAGCATACCTATCATGCACTGGATTATTTACCAAATAATAAAATATTGAATATATCATCCATTGTTCAGGCTCCAGCAATCTACCTCTTCAATACTCTTTATGCACTTTTCTTCATGTACCCTTTTAAGGGGCTTGTTCTGGGTATTCTACAGGTTGTAGTTTCCACATTAAGCACTAGGTGGCACAAGTCCGGTAAATGGATATTGCTGTGTGGACAGGTAAGGTACATCCATTTTGTCTTTTTTTACTCTGTTGCAGGTCACAGAGGTGGAGAATGACATAGGACCTGTTCAGGAGGATGAGGGACCCAACGCTGTTTCGCAGCTTGCAAAGAAAGTATGTGAACATTAGACAGCTGCTGCTTAAAGGTAGGGTAGGTAAGAATGGAAACCAGCTCGAGTGCGTTCGAATTTGAAAGTACGCAGCCGAAAAAAATCTGCCCCTTCCTTCAGACTTCCTTACAGAGCCCCTCTCCAACACACACAAACGCGCACATGACCAATGAGGGCACGAGATAAGTTTGTGCAACCCTAACCCTAACCCGAGATGGAAGGCTGACAGGCAGGTAGGCCATCCAGTTATTTTAGCCAGGCCGGCTCAGATGATTGGTGGTCAGCACCACGGCTTCCACAGATTTTTTTTTAATAGCATTTAATGTATTCATTGGATGTTAAGAGCATTCCATGGAATATATCAAAAAGTGTTTCTGAAGTGAATGACCTACCCTACCTTTAATGTTTGTAAGATTTTTATATTCTGGAAAAGTGTTTAAGTTAACGCTATAGACCAGGGGTGTCAAACTCAAATACACAGTGGGCCAACATTTAAAAATCGGTACTAGTCGAGGGCCGGACTTGTTCAATGTTCATTGCAAAACTTATTGAAATGAACTTGTTGCACATATTAAACCTGGAACTAACAAAGCTTAAATAATTGCCTATAAAAACAACATTAAACATTAAATAAATGAAAAATCAGTTGCATTCATTTCTTATGGCTCTATCTGCAGCTTTTCCGGAGTCATTTCTTATGATTACATTTTTCCACAGGCCAACAACAGCTTCAAAAAAAGGAAACATCCATTGAAACTCAGTTTGCTGCTCTGTGATGCACACTAAGCCAGATACTTGGCATCTCATCTTGGATGCAAGTTCATCAATGTTTGGGGTCAGGCTCTGAGCTGAGGAAATCCTCAGGATTTTTGAGTGAAGGTGTGCGTGCAATATACCGGCGGGCCAGATCTAATAGTAATTAGAAATTATTCTGCGGGCCTTGAGTTTGACATCTATGCTATAGACGAATAAAGTTACATTTTCAATATACCCCACAACTTCAGTGTCAGTAATGAGCAATGTTGTAAGTGGTTGTTAAGCGTGTTCTTCTTTTAGGACTATTGTTCAAATGATCTCATGAGACCACCTTAATGTGTACCTACTTTGACCTTTGACCCCTGTTTGTGTTTGGTTGTGTTTTCAGATGCAGGGGGCCGGGACTAAAAGCTGGAACAGGTTTTCAACTCTCTTCAACAAAGAGGATGAACACCAGCTTCTGGAGGAGACCGAGAGCCCGCCAGTCCCCGACCAGTGAGTGGAAATTTGTCTTTGTTCACATCTGTCCTCTTTCTACCAGCTCGAGTTTCAGTCCTGCACCTTGTGCCATCTGGGGGGTTTGGATCCTGGAAATAAGGGGTATTTTTTAAGGTAGTATCTGTGTATGACGTGTAGGTTTGTCTTTTCATATTTTTATTTTACTGTACTTGAGAGTAGCCCAAATAATGTTTAAGCTTAGCATAAAGCATAACTACTTGAAACTGGGACAAAAAGCAAGCATGGCTCTTTCCAAAGGTAACACAGTTTGTTGACTAGCACCTCTAAAGCTCACTAATGTAATATAAATAATGACAGGTTGTGGTTCAGAGGTGCCGGTAGGGTGCTTTTGTTACATTGGACAAAGTAAGGCTAGCTGTTTTGCCCCATTTCCAGTGTTAATGCTAAGCTAAGCTAATATTGATATTCTCCTCTAACTCTTTGAATGGAAGTGCAGATATTTTTTCACATTTTGAGAACGCAAAAACTGCATTCAGACCTGATTTTTAACCAGTATGTTTTCCAACATATATCTGTTGTTTCTATTTTCAGAACAATTCAAATTATGGATTGCTTTAAACTGGAATCTACCTCAGCCTAACTAATTAGTACTAAAAGGAAATCTGAAATCAGAAAACTAGTTTATAATGGTGAATTATAGGACATGTTGCCCCACTATTTCTGACTGACTCCTAAAATTAACCCTGCTGCTTCCTCTGAATCCTCAGTCCACTTGCAATAAGGCCGGAGGAGCCTCCTCGCCCCACAAAGCGCTCGGCATTCTGGGATAGCTTTGCCTCCAACTGGGCTGCCAAGAAGCAGGCGGAGGCTGCTGCCGTGGCCGCTGCTGCAGCCAATGAGACAGCAGCAGCTCAGGGTGAGGAGGGGGTGACAGAGGCCGGAGGAGAGGTCAGCCAGGATGGGCAGATCCCTCAGGGAGAGGAGAGCGAAGAGGGAGGAGGAGGAGGAGGAGGAGGAGAAGGAGGGAGGAGCAGCAACAGCTTCTCCAAATACGTGTCGCTCGGAGGAGGGAGCGAGGATGCATCCTTCAAGTGGAACTTTGTCACCAGCAAACTGGCAGAGATGAAGACCAAGAGCAACTAGCTGCTCCTGGTGAAGGAATCTGGAGAGTATAAACAATATGATGAAGGGTTTATATGTAGGAGTATAGAGGAAGTTTAGGGGGAGGCTATATTTGACACAGGATGTCCTGTAACTAACTGTACAGCTATTGTAAAAGTCCCTTTCATTCTGAGCTTTTGAATAATGCACCGTCTCCTAACCACATCACAATGAACAAAAACAATGTGTTTAAAAACATTTCCTTGATTATATTTTAGGCCCACATGCTCTGAGCCCACACATAGTTTGAATAACATTTTCAAGAGCAAGCAAAGATCACAAAATGGATGATGTCACATTTTAAACCTGATATCAAAATCTCAAGGGAGACAAAAAGGTGTTAATTATTATCAGAATATAATGACTTTATTTCACAAAGAGGACTTCTACAAATGTTAGAACTGAAAAGGTTACACAAATTGATAATAATCTATTATTTCTCTGAGATGAGGTGGATAGTTGTCTCTTCACCAGTTTGAGACACAGCATGATGCAGTGTAACATGTTTAGAGAATACAACAAATAATTTAAGTGTTGAACCTGGTCTGCACATTACAGCCTGCTTTAGTGAGGTTGTATGGACATATCTTCTTCCCCAAAGTGCTTTTTAAACCACAAAAAGGTGCCTTCACACCTGTCAGTAAATTTGATCTAATCTGTAGTTTAGCAAAAACCGGATTAAAAGATTAAAGGCAGCGATAGCTGGATTAGTTGAGGATTATCTCACTTAACCTGCACAGAGGGCAGGGCTTTCAGTGAAGAGATTTGGCAGTGCGACAAAACGATTACATCATTTAAGCATTTCTCTCTCCTCGGATAACAGGAAGGGGAAACGTGCTGCATTTATATGAAATGTGTGAAATATGAATGTGTGCGTGTGGTGAGATAATGTCAGGTGACTTGATGACTTTACTGACTTTTTTTTCTGATCTTGACTGAGACTGTGCAGTGTGAGCTCTTTACATTCCTGATTTTGTGACATGAAAGAAAACTTGTTTATTTCAGATTTTGTCTTATTCTGTTGTTTTGATTCATCTTATATTTAATAAAGACTACTGCACTAAGAGTTCTCACCAGTCATGATTGAGCAAATGTTCTTTCTTCTGCAAAACAGGATGAAAATATCAACCCTTTTCCCAGAAAAAGTGAAAGTATTTTTAGCAGCAGGACAGCATGGTGAGCCAACCATATGGTATTTTGATATTGGATGTAGCAGGACATCCTGGTATTTGTGGCATTCTGCTTTTGACATACTTTATATAAAAGAACCAACATAAACTGTTTCTGTTCATTTTTGATTTAGTAGCATGGGTACTGGAACAGAAAAGCTTTATCCCATCAGGTATGTGTATGTTTTTCTTAAAACTAACACTAATTAGAGTTGATTCTAGCAAATTGCTTTCTTGAAAAAATCAAGACAACTTGACGAATACAAATGTTTTGGAAAGAACAAGCAAACCAGCCATGTCACACATGTGAGGCACTAAATATCTTGTCCTGATTGATGATTGTTTTACTGTTAAGTTTTAACTTTTGTTAAAAAAAGAACCTACACATTATTTCCATGAGTCAAGAAGCAGCATTAGTAAACAGTGTTTCACATTTTTTAATGTCTTTTTTGCCCAAAAAGGGGAAATCTTAATTAAGTGAAACATTAACATCCACAGGGGCATGTCACCAATATGTCCAGTGTGTTTTCAGTCAGTACAGCCCCAGAGTCTCTGATGGACACATGGGTTGCACCTGTGCTGATTGACTCTTCAGGCTATAGAGAAGCTTCCTGCAAACAAACACAGTATTTTTTTAAAACTGTTTGTGTATCATTTACATAGTCATCAATACAACTTGATTTTCCGTTAAGATGGATTTTAAGATAGCCATTTCTGGGTTTTTGTCTGAGTTGGAACTTTTAAACCAACATTTAAATTGTGACAAAATCGACACGAGGCAGATTTGACCCAGTCAGTTATTCCTCTAACCAGCAGGGGGCTCCCTTTACCTTCTGACTGTAAAACATGTGTCTGCTCTATTCTTGTATCTTGTTTTACGGCCTGTGTCTCTCCCACTAAAGCCATCCCCTACTAAGAGCCACAGATATGAAGGTATTTATACTCTGATCTCTCTTTTAACCTCCTTTATTTCCTGTTTCTCCTCTAATCTACTCCCACTTCCTCTCTAACTGCTCCATGTTTCCTCAGATACAATACTGTTTCCTATCAATCCAGGGGTCTTTGTTGACATATCCTCTTTGAATTTGACCGTACTTCCTAATAAAAGGTGCGAGCAAATGCACCCAAAGCTCAAGTTCATGCTTTTTTTAGCTGACCGGCCTTCATTATTTCCATGTGCTTCCAGTGTCAGTCAGATTTCAGGGCTGTCACCGTGGATCCTGCGGAGCTCAGAGAGTCTCAGTAGTTTGGTCCAGACTTCCACAGTTGTCAGTCTGAATCAGAGCAGATCTCCCCCTCACTCACAACTCTGTGACATGTTCAGCTTTTTGGATATATTTATATAACTCGCCCAGTTTCTGTGTCAGAGACCATAAAATGGAGGGGGCAAATGTATCCCACAAATGCATGATTTTAAACTTAAGAGTGATGTGTTTGGGGTGAAGGCTGCTCACTATTTGATGCTTGTGTGCAGTGCTGGGGTCCATATTGCAGATTTATGACATGAAAGCAACGCTCAGTGGAAATGGGGTTTGTAGAGCATGAAACCATCAGGAACTGAACTTTGTGGTTGGCAGTTGTGCAGGGGGAGACTGTGGTGGAAGAAAAGTCTTGAGTCACATTTCAAATTGTTCTTTACTTACTTACTTACTTACTTACTTACTTACTTACTTACTTACTGAAAAAGTCAAACTAAAAACAAGCACACTCAGCAGCTTTTCAGATGCTTGTACTATATTTTCTCAATTGTAAACATGATGTATACAAGTGTAAAAGGAGTACAATGCTAAATCGGATTTGTTTTTAAAGGTGCTGAAACACATCATAGAGCTGAGGAGAACTGTAGAGTATTTGTGTCTTTAATTCTCTTTTGGTTTATCCCATAGGAGCAACACATCTAATTTAATCCACCCAAATATCCATTGGTGCTGCTTTGAAGAGCATCTAATGAGTTATTGCTTTTTTTGGCACAACAGATAATCAAGTTTACCCTCAAGTGGCATTACTTTCTGGATGGAGATTCATATTTTAATGTTATATTCAGGGTTCCTAATGACTTCCATCTGTTTTATATTTACCACGTGACCAAACATCTTCTTTGAAGTTATTTTCAGCCTTTTTTTGTGAAGTGTCCCTATCGCAAAGTTCCACCCCCGCAGGTGTTTTTATTCAACCCGCCAGATATGACTTTATCTCAGTACTGTGTGAATCTCAACTCTATTTTCATTGAATTGATGGTGCAGTCAGTTGTGGCCAAAAAAGCATCCGAGACAGGAAATAGTGTGGCTAGGCTTGTAAACGTAGCATGCATAAGCTATCAGGACTAACACAGTTATAAATGACAGACTTTTTTATCAAATATTTTACTGTCATTAATATCTGTCACCTACTACAGGCATACAAATATGATTTCTTCTATGCAATTAGTTTTATGCAAAATGTTCCACTCTTGAAACCCCCTAAAACATCTAGCTTTCTCATGAACACTCGTTCACACACTGCCTCCACAGTGTCTGACCCTTTTATCACTTGTATTCTTTTCAAACAGGTGTGTGTGTCAGCCTGTCTCTGTGATCCTGTGGCCTTTGCCATTTGGCTCACTTTTGGCTCTCTGTAACACAAACATCCCCCCCCCGCCCCCGCCACGGGAAACACTGAGACACGGTACTTTATTTTTTTTCTGCTGATGTACAGCGATGACTAAACGGCTTCACACCTAGCCCCGGGCTCTGTTCCACACGCTGTAATTACTTCAAACAAAAGTGGCCCACAACCCTGTGTGAGCCTGCGTTAATTGTTGCACATAACCCACAATGCTTTTCTCATCTGAACAGGAGATGCTTAGAGAAGATAACACATCTAATCTGTTTGTATCCAGTATTGTCATTGTGGTGGGATAACCTTTGTAATTATGATGATTTATGGCAATAATACTTAGTAAAGGTTAATACTACACTTTAGCAAGGTGTTTAAACTGTTGACATCACAGTTTTTATGTACAAAAACATGTTCTACATCTTTGAATACACACACTTTAAAAAAAATTAGATTTGTAATATAAATAGAAGCTTTAATCAGACACACAAAAGTAAAAAAACAAACATGAAATGAGGTCATAGGGACCATTTTAGAAATCAGGTCAAACTACCATGTGATTATGTTGTACGTTGAAGCAGTTTTTTTCCAGAGTTTGTCCCTTTGTGACTCCTCTTGGCTAACTGAAGTCATAAATTACACAGCCAAAGTGACTGGGCTGTGCCGTTTGGGAAAGAGTTTTCTTCAAGATTACAGCTCAAAGTCTAAGAGTTGCTAAGCTCATGAAAAAGTATCAGTCAGTGAAAAACATGCATAAAAATTGACCCTTAGGTGTAGTCTAATCATCGTCGGCCCCCGGCTTGTTTTGTCTGTAAGGATCTGAGATCAGAAGTGAAGATTTACAGGTGAACGTTTGGAAAAGATGAAAGGTGATATGTCAGTTTAAACCTCACACAGACATTTCTCACATAAAACCCCTCAAAGACAGACAGACATGTCTGGTAGCACTCAGGTATGACGACTGCGTCTCCACACACACGGTGACTCACACACTTACAGCAGCCGTCCCATCTGGAAACCAACCTGTGGGTGAAAAGATGTACACATGATCACACTGTCTGTTTCAGATGCATACAACTGCCACGCCTGCTGGAGGCTAGAGTGTGGAAAATAGTCTGTGGAAAACACACACACACACAAAAACATATACAGAGCAGTCTGAAAATACTAGTGCATTGAAACACTTTGTCATTGTTTTGTCTTACACTCAGAACATTTGAAATTAGACGTCTATAAGAGTGGAAATACTACCTCCTCACTATTCATTGTCTCCCAGTTTTGAGACAATGCACCAAGACAATAACTTTAGGATCACAAATAAAAATACTTTTGTTCTGACTTTAGTTCAAATGTAGGCTGCATGTATTTCACCTGCTGGCCAAAAGGGAAAACATAATCAAATGTGTAAATGTAAAGATGGCTGCAGTTCAGACCACATATTAAACAAGATAGCTATGTCACATTTAACATACAATTTACAATTTATTCCACTCAAACAAGGGGAGTACGTAAAAAGAAATGTAGATAGTGGTGACTTTCATCTTTCAAATTTGAAGAGTCCCTATTATGCTCATTTTCAGGTTCACATTTGTATTTTGTGCAGTTCAAAAATGTCTTTATTTGTCTCATACTGCCTGTGCTGCAGCACCTCTTTTCACCCTCTGTCTGAAACCAGAGACCAGTCTGCTCTGATTGGTTAGCTGGTTGGCTCTTTTGTGATTGGTCAACTGCTGCCCCTTCAGCCTATGATGTACAATGTGTTGGTTCGCTAGCTAATAGAAGCGTGGGTGTTACATAGTGATGTCACTATGTTACAAAAGTTAACCACAGAGTCAAATTGAGCAGGGGGGGAGTGTGTAGGAGAGACACTTTGGGATTTCAGTTTTTGCAGACCATTTATGTGCAAACAACCTAACCTAAACCTCTGCAAAGTGAGGCAAGTGCTGAAGGGCCTTACATTTAAGAATATGCCATGTCTCAGATGATTTATTGTAAACTTTTTCATGATGAGTTTATGGTCACAATTGCCAGTTATACATATTTTCAAATGTATCATGATGTTCATTTTTCAAACAATGGTCCAACTTGGAGACAATAAAGCAGGGTATGCTTTCGGTTGAAACAATTATTGCATCTTTGGAAATGCGGAAAGCCCCGGACTAACTTAACAATGGCCTTATCTCTTATTTGATTTTCTTTCAAAGATTAAGCTCAACATAATTTCAGCGCTACATGCTGCAATTTCTATTAATGTTGAAACCACTTTTGCTAGTAGATCAAACCAACAAACTCGA